GAATAACAAGGGGAGTACTGACACCAGGTACTAAATAACAAGGGGAGTACTGACACCAGGTACTGAATAACAAGGGGAGTACTGACACCAGGTACTGAATAACAAGGGGAGTACTGACACCAGGTACTAAATAACAAGGGGAGTACTGACACCAGGTACTGAATAACAAGGGGAGTACTGACACCAGGTACTGAATAACAAGGGGAGTACTGACACCAGGTACTAAATAACAAGGGGAGTACTGACACCAGGTACTGAATGACAAGGGGGAGTACCTGCACCTGGTACTGAATAACAAGGGGAGTACTGACACCAGGTACTGAATAACAAGGGGAGTTCTGACACCAGGTACTGAATGACAAGGGGAGTACTGACACCAAGTACTGAATAACAAGGGGAGTACCTGCACCTGGTACTGAATAACAAGGGGAGTACCGACACCTGGTACTGAATAACAACGGGAGTACCGACAGCTCTTTTTCCCCATTTCAAGCACTGTCTGCAAGTGCGTATAAAAATTGGTTCAAAACACTGACCTGGCACTGGAAGACAGTACCCCAAAATCTCATTGAGGCAATTCAGTTTAGAAATGAAGCTAATGTCGGTGGGTCAATATGAGGCAATGGGATGGTCAGCCCAAAGCTGAGAGGTGACCCTGCGACCCCCCCTTCAGGTGATGGGGGCTGACCTGCATGCTCAGTGTGGACGTGCGCCTTCATGTCAGCCTCCTCGATGCACGTGAAACCGCAGCTCCTGCAGCACAGCGAGAACATGCAGCGCTGCTGCTCGCCATGGAGGGACATGTGACCGTTGAACTGGACGCCGAGCTCCACCTCGAACCCGCAGACATGGCAGCTGGGGGAGAAACACGGGGAGGATGCGGTCACCGTGGAAACGCACGTTTCCCCCGTTTACCGGGGGAATTTGCCTGGGTTGTGACAGGCATCAAGGGGAACACAAGCTGCTCTTGGTGCTGCTCTGCTTAAATGGGACGTTCATTCAGAGCTCTGCCCTCGTCCAGCTCAGGATCCCGGGGGGGGGGGGGCAAGGACACTTATTCACTTCACCGGTGCCTTTTTGTATGACTCAGAAAGCACACCCTGACCCTGACACCAGATTCCTCGCTCTGTTGTAGGTCTTTCCTCGACCCAGCGCCCGTTCCATTTTCCTGCGTCCTGGGTCATCTTTTACTCTTCCCCTCCCCCCCCCCCACTCCTGTAACCCAGCAATGTCCCCCGTTCTACCTGAAGCCAATCCTACACAATTTTACACTTCCACGTCCCATATCAAATGATCAAGTGTTATCCCACATTCAGTGGCTCCCAGTTGGCATGGCAACCAGTGCCAGGCTGGGGAGGGAGAGCCCATGGAGGAGCGGCTACCTGTAGTAGTAGGGGCTGTCCCGGCAGGGGCTGCCCCCGCTGGGGTTGGGCGCCGGCCCGTTGGAGCCCCGCAGCTTGCCGCAGTGGACGGCGAGGTGCTGTTTGAGGTTGGACCGGCACTTCGCCACATAGGGACACAGGTGGCACCCATACCTTCGCTCCCCTGCAACAGCAAATGGAGCGACGCTGCGTGGGACCGTTCAGCAGAGGGCGCCAGAGAATTCAAACGGTCACGTGAGCCGGTCTCCCAGCCAATTGGCTTTCCTGTTGCATTACGATTCCCCTGCAGTTATCCTGATTGGCTTGATTGATAATTCGATAGTTAGTAGGAGGTTCACCTCTCTATTGCTTGTCTGTTCTCATAAAACTGACATATTGCTTTTAGCTGGGTACCACTCAAAATCATTCATTTTTCTTTATATTATAGTATGTTGCCGATGGTTTTCAAAGAATTTCCTCCTAGGATAAATAAAGTTTATCTTTAATTATTATATAACCCTTTAATACACTTGAGCGCGGGGCAGCTACATGTCGATTACTCTCCACCAAATGTGCCGGGTAACATTTACGTTTAGTGGTTGGGTTTCATCACCGACAGTTGATGGTCGTCCTAACAGTAATGGGCTGTAGGTATCTACTGGAGGTCGAGGGTCTGCATCTGCTTGGTGTAAGATGTTCAGAAGAGTTTACTGATGTCCGTGAAGCATCACCTTGTCACTGTGGTAAACAGCCATCGTGCCGCTTTTGGCCGGGCTTTAATACACCGTGAGTTTGGTACACTAAATGCGGGCACAGAGCCAGCTGCCTGTGATCCCAATGAGGAGGGTGGGTCCCTCTTAGGCTAATTAGCAGGCTAATCTCTTTAAAGTAAGGTTAATCCAGTTTAGGAAACCTTATTTACTCACAAGCTTAAAGAGTTGAATAAACAACAAAACTCCCACAGTTAGCGACCTTGGATGAGTGAGCTGTAGATATGTTAAATCAGAGGGGCGGCTCACCTATGTGCTGGGACAGATGTCGCGAGAGGGTCTGTCGCCTGCCAAACACCTTCCCGCACACAGGGCAGGGGTACAGCTGCTCGTTCGCCCGCCACAGGGAGGCGCCATTCCCTGCGTCCCCGGTCAGTTTCACCCAGCCTAGATCACGCACACAGAGCTGTCAGTTATCCTGCCCTGACTCTGCCCTCGTAACGATACAGACGCTGGGCCGATCCATGCTCAGCCAGGCCCGCTTAATCCAACACCAGACAGACCTAGTCACCCCTAACTCTGCACCCATGACCGGTTTGATGTTAGATCACCACAACATGGGCTGTCAGCCAGAATCGCTCGACTCGACCAGAATAAAGACCACATGTTCGACGCTTTCGCTCTTCGCTTTGAGGTTTAACCCGTAAGGAGGACGTCCTCACAAGGGGAATCGATTCAAGCAGAACATATAACGCAAAACATGGCCCTTTCTATGGACACGGACTCTGTAATGTAGAAGCAGCATCTCGCCGAGCCAGTGAATAGGAACTGACACCTACTGGCAGCCGAGGGCCGCCGTGCTTGGGGCTGGACCGGTACCAGGTTGCAGCCTCATCTCAGAGCCCTCGTTTCCTTCAGCGGTTTCACGTTCCCCTTTCATGTGCCGCCCAACGATGTCCGGGTGCCAAACAATAGCTGCCGGATCACACAGCTTCTCTGTCGTCTGGCGGAAGGCTCTAAAATGGCGCTTGGGGCCGTCTCGGGTTTTGAGCCTCTCCATCTGGACTGAGATCCGGCTCGACCCCACTGGCCCATTTGCTCGTCAGGACCTTCGGATGGCCTGATGCAGCAGCAGCAGCAGAACTGCAGCACGGGGGGGTGTTAAATACCCACTGTACCACAGAGATATAATCATAATTACACTCAGACATTACTCAGTAAAGCCTCCCAAAGGCCCAGAGTTCTGACAGTTCCGTGTTCCATAGGCCCAGAGTTCTGACAGTTCCGTGTTCCAAAGGCCCAGTGTTCTGACTTCCCCACGTTCCAAAGGCCCAGTCTTCTGATGGCCCCACGTTCCAAACGCCCAGAGTTCTGACAGTTCCGTGTTCCAAAGGCCCAGTCTTCTGACAGCCCCACGTTCCAAAGGCCCAGTGTTCTGACTTCCCCACGTTCCAAAGGCCCAGTCTTCTGACGGCCCCACGTTCCAAAGGTCCAGCTGTTCTGACGGCCCCACGTTCCAAAGATCCAGCTGTTCTGACGGCCCCACTTTCCAAAGACCCAGTCTTCTGACGGCCCCACGTTCCAAAGGTCCAGCTGTTCTGACGGCCCCACGTTCCAAAAGTCCAGCTGTTCTGACGGCCCCACGTTCCAAAGGTCCAGTCTTCTGACGGCCCTACGTTCCAAAGGTCCAGCTGTTCTGACGGCCCCACGTTCCAAAGGTCCAGCTGTTCTGACGGCCCCACGTTCCAAAGGCCCAGTCTTCTGACGGCCCCAGGTTCCAAAGGCCCAGTCTTCTGATGGCCCCAGGTTCCAAAGGCCCAGTCTTCTGACGGCCCCACGTTCCAAAGGCCCAGACTTCTGACAGCCCCTGCCGTGATCCTCTATCACAGCGTAGATGCAGGCCGGTGGACCCCACACAACCGGCCACGTCTCCCTCCCCGGCGGATCGCCCGGCCCAATCTGGACACGTGGGGGGGCGGCAGTGGCGGCATTAGCACAATTAGCTTTCAGGGCGGCCTTGCCACAGAAAATTAAATCATGATGGCCGGGAGCGCAGGACAGGGCTGACACGCACAAATTACCCTCCGCACAGCGACAGAGCTGGAAGTCAGGAGGGTAGGGGTGGGGGGGGGGGCAGGGGCAAAGGGGCAAATTGTGATGGACGTCATGCAGAGGAAGAGAATTGTACAAAGAACTGGAAAGAATTTCAGATAGAGATGCCTACATGAGTTCAAACACAGACCTGCCCCCCCCCCCCGCTCCCCCAGAGACAGTGAGCTGTGTGGAGGTACCTTGCAGTGATGCCCTGGTGGAGGAGCCCGTGTCACTGGAGAGGGATCCTGAGCTGTACAGTGACTGCCTGCAGGGCTCTTTTGAGTACGGCCTGGAGAACAGACACACGATTTAGAACCAGAACAGAGGGATCCCCCCCCCCCCCAAACCACACCCCACTTTACCTGGCCATGCCCATTATACTGCTGTCTCTGCACTCCTTTGCTTTGCTCACTTTCTCTGAAAGAAATAGAAGCGACAGAGACCCAGTTAAAAACCCACACTGCTTCGGAACAACTCCGGCGCAGTCGTCATGACGATGCAACGTGGTGCCCAGGAAAGAAGTCGCACAGAGGAAACGGGAAAACATTAGCGTGCTCTGAACGGGGAGGGCCAGAACTCACGCTGGTCCAGGAGCACGAGGACGCCCATTTTAAACGTCAAAAGAGCTTCACTTTTTAAGCAAACCCTTCACAGACCCGGGACGCTTATCTCATACCCAGAAGCAGCTCTGCCATTTCATGCTGCCAGCTCCTTTGTCGTTAACGATTCTCCGCTATTCCACACGTTCTGGATCAACCCATTACTCTGCAAGTAAACGGTCAGGCCAGCTTATAAAAGGAAAATGACCCGTAGGGGAGCCGGACAGGCAGACGCCAACATGCGCGATCTGCAGAGTGCCCCCCCCTCTGCCCGAATCACTGTCACCCCTCAGACCTCGTCTTACTCCTGGGAGCCCTTCAAATATCAGAAGAGCATCAGCTTCATTACATTGCCCCCCAACACCCGCTTCCTGTCAGGCGAATCACACTGCGGGTTTTAGAGCTGAAGTCACGGTAAAGGTGACTCCAGTGAATGTGGATCACCGACGTCGCTGCTCCACTAGGCTGCCGTGTGACCCTGCTAACATGAGCTCAGCAACGGCAATATTAATTTACTCATGATCCTTTACACTTATCTTCTGGACAAGTCTGGGTCCTTAGCCACGGATGAAGATGCAAACGTGACACACACAGGGGCAGTACGGAAATCGAGGCCCACAGCTCAGCAGGCCGTGCACAGCCCAAACACACTTCCTGCTTCCCGTATCATGTACCAAGCTGGCCAGTATGGTTTGCGACGTACAGCCAGTCTCTTACCTGCGTTTCCTGGGAGGACCTCACACCAGAGCATCCTCATCACAGGAACACTTAGTGAACCGCAGTGATGTGAAAAACCAAAAGCTGGGTGACACGAGGGAGAATTACTGCTGAAGTGGGTGTCGGTCAGCACTGTTCTACCCGCGTTCAGGGACAGCGGCGAGCCAGGCGGTGACACGCACTGACGCACGGTGACATCACCTCCTACCTGACAGCTTGTACAGCAGCTCAGAGGCCATCTTGACAGAAATGTCCTGGCTGAAGAGTGCTTTCTGTGGACACAGGGGGCCGGCGGGCAAGCCAGTCAGAGGCTCATCAGAGGGCAGCAGGCAAGACGAGGCCAGGGGGGTCAAACCGGGGGGATCCAAGTCCATGGGTTCTGCCTTTACCGGCGCTCCATGTGAGTTACATGGCTCCCTCTTGTTCTCTGCAGGTACCGGGAAGCCAAACAGCAGAGTGAGGTCATAGAACAACGTAGCTGCTAAAATTCAGACAGTCACATGGAACCGCCAACACACTAAACGTTAAAACAGGTACATGGAACCATCTACACGCTGACATTAAGACAGACACACGGAACCTCCTACATGCTGACATTAAGACAGACACACGGAGCCCTCCTACATGCTGACATTAAGACAGACACACGGAACCTCCTACATGCTGACATTAAGACAGACACACGGAACCTCCTACATGCTGACATTAAAACAGACACACAGAACCTCCTACATGCTGACATTAAGACAGACACACGGAACCTCCTACATGCTGATATTAAGACAGACACACGGAACCACCTACATGCTGACATTAAGATACACACGGAACCACCTACATGCTGACATTAAGAGAGGCACACAGAACCACCTACACGCTAAGTTAAGACAGGCAAACAGAACCAACTATATGCTAACATTAAAACAGGCAAAGTAAACTATCTACATACTAACAAGCAGAGATCACTCAGAACCACCTACACACTAACAAGAAAACAGGACACATGGAACAACCTCCAACAGGCAAACAGGGAACACGGAACAATCTACATACTAACTGGAAGATAAGTCACACAGAACTACCTACACACTAAAAGGCACATAGCATGTTGGTTGTTCTATGTTACCTAACAGGCAAATGACAGCAGATAGAACAATCTACAGTACATGCTAACAGGCAGACACGGCACACAGAACAACCTACATGCTAACAGGCAGACAGGGCACACAGAACAACCTACATGCTAACAGGCAGACAGGGCACACAGAACAACCTACATGCTAACAGGCAGACAGGGCACACAGAACAACCTATACGCTAACAGGCAAACAGAGCACACGGAACAATCTACATGCTAACAGGGTACACAAACCCACCTACACACTAAGAGGCAGACAGGGCACACAGAACGAGCTGCACACTAACAGGCAAACGGGGCATGCTTTCTTTCACATAGAAAAACACGGCACACAAAACAATCCACAGATAAACACATGCCGAGTGTCTCCAAATGACCCTAAAGCAGGGAGAACCTGTAATCTTTACTGAAAATAATAAAAACAAGTAATTAAATACCATCAGGTGTGTTAAATGGGACATTTCTCTGGAAAAGATCCCTCCCTGAATCGCAGGTAAGTAAAGCGTGACACTTCACTCGGAGTTCGGAGGGGGGACAGGCTAAAAATAGTGGCCCCCACGGTGCCATGTGAGTGAGTTCGGCCCACGCCGCTCGGGACCGCGTCCCCTCAAGCGTCACCGTCCAAACCACGGTTCTGCCACCACATGCGGCCAAAGGGGTCAGTGAATTCCCGATTCCACCAGCTCTGCCTCCAGGCGGGGTGGGGGGGGGGGTGCAGTTGTCCGAGCGTGACCTACATGGCGGCGGCGCCCCGAGCCGCATGGCCCAGGTGTCAGGGCTGTTCAGGCCGCTGCCAGGCCACGGTGCTGCCGGCCAGAGGTAGCTAATCCCTCCGCTAGGGCCGGCCGTGTGCCGGGGGTCAGCGCTCGGTCGCCGAGCTGCCCCCCCCCCCTCCAGGTCAGGATGGACACGCTTGAGCCGCCGCCACCACTTGCCGGCCACACTCTCCATCTGTGGAGCGCCCCCCCCCCCCACACACACACAAGCGTGCGCATTTATCCCCTATCCCCATTTCCCGTGCAGCGACGCATGCTAAACCGCTGAAAGGGGGCTGTGCTTCCACACGCCGCGTGATGCTAGCCTGCCAGCGGCACCCCCTGGTGGATGTGCGGTCTCTCACCAGAGGGGGGTTTAATGTGTCAAACCTGGACACTGGGGGTATTTCTCTCCAGACAGGTAGACCTTCCCACACTTAGATTTCTCAGTGTCCCGTCCACATGTTACACCCTCTTTGTACACGTAGACGCACATGCGTGATATCCATCGGGGGTGGGGGTTGGGGGTGGTGTCACCAATCACATGTCTCTCACTGCCGCCTCTCAACTGAATGCATCATGGGTACGATTTGTCATTTGAAAGGGGCTAATGATGTGGGGAGATGGGCACACAAAGACACGCACACACATGCACATGCATACACACAGAGACACGCACACACATGCATACACACAGGGACACGCACACACATGCACATGCATACACACAGACACAAACACACATGCATACACACAGGGACATGCACACACATGCACATGCATACACACAGGGACATGCACACACATGCACATGCATACACACAGACACGCACACACATGCATACACACAGACACGCACACACATGCACATGCATACACACAGGGACATGCACATGCATACACACAGACACGCACACACATGCAAATGTATACGCACAGAGACACGCATACACATGCACATGCATACGCACAGAGACACACACACACATGCATACATACACACAAACACACATGCTTGGCATACACTCAGACACACACAGGCAAGCACATGCAGATACACACGAACACAAAGACACACATGCATATACTCACAAACATGCATGTACATGTACACACATGCAGACATACATGCATACACATGCATATGAAGACACACACAATGTCATCCCCGCCACGTGGTCCCCAGCCCTTCATCAGCAGGTTAGACAATAATTTGTGTAGTGAGAGAGGCAGGGAGGGGGCAAGTTTGGGGAGGGGGCATCCATGCCCAGTGAAGCGGCACGCTCCTGACCGCCCCAGGGCCCGCAGCGGGTCTCCTGCACAGAACTGAGGGCCATCGCGGTCACACTCCAAGCAGAGGAAAATGACGTCCCTGCCACTTAATGTGGACAGATTGGGGTTGTAATGCGGGGCCCGGTGTTCTCCACCACCCCCAGCACGCCACCCCCACAGCCGCTGACAGACACCAGGTTCAAATAATGTGGGTAATAACATAAAATGAACAGATTAACTGTGAGGGGGGGGGGGTCTGGAGAAACAGAAGAGGAGAAGAGACGAGAGGAGGTCTGGTGAAGGGGGGATAGCGGTTAGCGGGATGTTGGGCCCAGGCAGAGGCAAGGACAGCGTGCACCCACAGGGCAGACTCCCACAGTGCAGTCCTGGGGAGGCAAGGCTCTGCCAGGCCATACACACACATCCCCCAAGAGAGCGACCAGAGGAGGCCCCCCCCACACTGCCGTCAGCAAGCCGAAACTGCGCTTTGTTAGCACACCACAATACGACCATAAGCGCAGCCTTCAAGCCAGAAGCGATGGACTCGTACCCGAGAGCTTCATGAGGAATTCGGATGCCACCTTCACGCCCATGTTCTGGCCCAGGAGGCGCCCATCAGCCTGGCAGAAGGGCTGGCCTGGCTGCCCAAGGGCCGGACGGGGACTCGATTCCTCTTCCGATTGCTCTTCCTCCTCCTCATCCTCTTCCTGCTTCACAAAAAAACGGGATTTCTGGGCCTCCTTCTGGTTCGCAGCTGTGGAGAGGGGGAGGGAAGGGAAGGGGGGTGTCAGTTGATCTCTACTCCATTTAGAGAGAGATGGAAGATAGAGAGGGAGAGAAAGAGATAGAAGAGAGAGAGGAGAGAGCAGGAGAGAGTGGGTGATATTGAGAGAAAAGAGGGAGAGAGAGGAGAGAGTGGGAGAGAGAGAACAGCAGAGAGAGAGGAGAGACAGAGAGAGAGGAGAGAGCAGGAGAAATAGAGTGAGAGAGAGAGGACAGAGCAGCAGCAGAGAGAGAGAAGAGAGCAGGGGGAGAGAGAGAGAAAGAGAGAGAGAGAGAGAGAGAGAGACGAGAGAGCAGCCAACCCCCTGGGCTGCCACGGGCCTCAGGAAAACAAAGCGAGCTGATCAGCATCCACATATTGAGTGCACAAGGACCGCGATCTGGACGTTGATCTGTCAGCAGCTGAAACGTGCTGTGAGGTCCCCACAGCATCTTGGGAAACACAGACCCCTTCCAGCTGTTAGCCCTTAGCGCTGTAGTGTGGCAGCACGCCGGGACCTGGGGGCTCTCAGCACTGCAGCAGAAACGGGTGGGGAGCAGCCCTGGCCTTGGCTCTCAAAGCGGCACCGCACATATTTTTCACGTTCTCCACAGGAGTGTATAGAACTGGGAGGGGGGGGGGGGTATTACAGGAGGAATGCATGAACTGCCACCCCCCCCCCCCCCAGACAGGGCAGTGAATTTATGGGCTTCTAAACACTTAATTTGTTGTTTTGGAAGCGGTCTTGGCATTTACAAGTGGCCCTCGGGAGAAGGTTCCAGGTCTCCGTCGCCTGGTCGTCTCAGGTTACCAGCCCACACAAAACGAGGCCCCCCTCCCACGCAGTGGGCCGGGAGACGGGAAGCGCAACTGCAGCTCTGACAGCACCATTACGGGGATGGGCGTGGGGGGGGAGGCGCCTGATGGAGGACGGTAAACAAACCCGCCTACATGACGCTGCATCATAGCCATTCTCACAGCTAGAGCTCCCACAATGCACTGCGGCTGCTTGTCGCTCGTGCCGGTGCGTTTCCCTTGTCTTCAATGGCTGCGGGAAAAATGGGTCATGTTTCATCGGTTTCAGACGAGGAACAAATAATTAAAAATGCAGAGCCACCATCCGGTTTCCAGAAAACGGCACGGAGCGCCGGCGGCTCTGCCTGGTGGGCGCCGGGCCTGAGCGACGTGCAGGGGCCACCTGGGGGCGCCACCGTAGCCTGCTCCCACGTCCCTCCCCCCCACTCCGCGTGCCATGTCGCCGGCCCGCGCCGAGTCCCGTCGGTGATTAATGACGACGAGCGCCTTGACAGCCCCCCCAGGAGGGGCGGGAGATGGAGCCGGCGTCCGCAACGCCGCACAGGGTCTCGCTGAGGACCCAGGGGGCCCCGGCAGAGGAATGACCTTCATGTTAGCGTGGCGCGGGGGCCCGGGGACGCCAGCTGGAAATGTCACGCCGTCAGGTGTCGGCGGGGAGGCTAAGTATAACCCCGGCGGCACCTGCAAGGTCGTCCTCTAATTAAAAGCGTGTTCTGGCGTGTAGCGGCAGACAGGCGTGGGCACCCGCGTGCTCCAGGACAGCGCCGCTCCCCTCTCCGGGGTCCGGGGACACGAGCAAAACAGCTCAAAAATACGAGCTACACAAAGTCACCCCGCTCCCCGACCTCTGCGCCGCCGCCATAAATAGCAGCCATTTCCATCGGAAGGCACCGCGCTTGGCCGCTGAATTATTCATCAGGCGGATCCATGGAGCGCCAGCGGCCCCCGAGCCCGCAGAAGGCCGCCCTTCCCCTCGCAGAGACGCCCCGGCGGACGGGCGTGCCGCGCAGCGAGCGCTTAGCGGCGTTGATGGGACCGGCCTGACCTTACCTCCCGTAACTGGGTCGCTCGACCAGCCGACCGGGGCTCTTTTCTGTCTCGCCCACACACGGGCAGGACGCCTCCACCGCCTCTCATCCGCTGCCCCGGCTGCTGTCAGACAGCCTGATTAACCCCCCCCCTTGCAGAAAAGGAGATCCAGTTACATGGAAGGCTTTGGGCCAGGCGGCCGAGTGCGCGGCAGCCAGCAGAACCGGCCTGACGGTAACCTGCCTCCGAAATGCAGCGCCCTACAGAAGGCACCTTCCGGAAAACGCGGAGTGGGAGTGGGGGACCCATGGCGGTCGTCCTGTCTCTCGGTGCTCACCGGCTACATGCTCACCATCTGTTGCTCAGCACACGAAAACAAAAATGGTGCCTTTAGTTTATGATCTGAGCACCAGGGATGGGCGGGACCTTCAATCACCGTCAACCAGAAAAGTGGCCAATGGGAAGCCGGAGAACGTGGGCGAGTGACGGGGCTCCCGCCTCGGCCTCCGTTTCTCACTGCAGTACACCCAGTTCCCAGAAGAGCGGCGCCGGTTCTGTGAACGACCCGGCCGCTTACTGATGTGAAGGTCCTGCTCTGCTCAGAAGCATGGTGAGGACAGGGAGGGCCGGTCTGGCCAGGGACAAAAGGACGGGCGAGGCAGATGGCGCTGGAGCGATCCGCTTTCGCTCTTTGTCTCCGAGCCTCCTGGGTCCGTAGCGGACGGTCCCACTCACCTTGACACAGGCTTCCCGTGCGCCCTAACCCTGCCCACCACGTTAGACCGTCCTGACATCCCGGTGGGGGCTGGGCGACTCGCACACCATGCGAGTGAGTGGTCATCGCGGCGGGGGGGGGGGGGGGGGCCACAGGCGCGGATGTGGGGTCCTAACACCACCAAGACAGCAGCTTGGGGGGAGGGGAGTAAGAGGGACACCGCGGAGGCTAATAATCTTAAATTATCCTAAATTACAGATTCATCTTTAATTATGAATTATGCATGGCTGTGTAATTAATCTAATGTTCTACTTCCTAATGGTCTAATTACGCAGCACTGCGTGGGACAGCCATGGCCCCGCCCCCACCACACTGGGGGGGCTCACGGGCGATCGCATCACTTGCGGGAACCTCGCCGATGTCATGGACGCCACTCAGCTGTGCGCCCGCTCGTTAAGCCCCTCATTACCTGAGAGCTTGATGAGCAGGTCGGAGGCAGACTTGGTGGTGATGTCTGTGCCGAACAGGGTGGTTAGAGGTGTGGGAGGGCCAGACTTAGGAGTGGCCTGGTCGGAGGGGGCGCAGAGACTGAAGGGTGACGCCCCTGAGACATGGCTCTCCTGGGGCTCCTCCTTGACCCGCACGTGCTCGCCGGGGTCCCGAGGCGAGGGCCGCAGCGAGCTGTCCGCCGAGGCCGGGGAGCCGCCTCTGTCTTTGCTCTCGCCGTCGCTGGATGCCTCCTGCTTGACCCGCAGCTCGGCGCGCGGGAAGTGCTGATGGCAGCGCATGTGCAGCTTCAGGCTGAAGTGGCGCGAGGAGGTGAAGGGGCACAGCGGGCACTGGAAGGTCTCACCCCGGTCCTGGTGCTGGTGTACCTGCGGCGGAAGTGGCTGGTGAGCTCCCTGCGGCCCTGGGCTCCCGCGGCCCTCGGCCCCCCAACGCTGGGCCCCTACCTTCATATGGGACTTCAGATTATCTTTGCGGGCGCAGCGGAACGGGCACAGCGGGCACTGGTGGCTCTTGAGGCCCGTGTGGATCACCATGTGCCGCTTCCAGTAGCTCTTCCGCTTGATGACCAGGCCGCACACAGGGCACTGGAAGGGCCTGCCCCCGTCCTCAGGGGGCACTGGCGAGAGAGCAAAAAGACAGAGGCGTGAGGGGGGGCACCCGCCATCTTGATGAGCCCAGTGGGGCTTTACAGGTCCAGGAAAATCCCAGCAGCGTGTACAGAGACTGGGCTACAGGGAGAGCTGAAAGCTGATTGGCCGCCTGACTGCCCTCTCCCCTGTCACATACTGTACCAACTCTAAACTGTTTATGCCCATGATAAGATTGTCCCCCTCTGTAAGAATTACTGCCCCCCTTATGCACCCCCACTTCCTAGAAACAGAAGCCTCTGCCTGGCCTGCAACCTGTGGTTTGCCAAAGTGGGGGCTCAGCTCGGATGCGAGACACCCCTGCCTGCAGGCTGGCCACCGTTCATTTATTTATGATGATGATGAGGATGATGATGATGCTATTAATATTAATATGTATAAGTACAGCCTTACAGACACATAAAGCACAGGAATGGATGTGCTGAGTATCAGATCCGTCTTAACCTAGAAAGTTCCGTCGGCCTTTTGTGTCTGGAACATCTCGGTAGGATGCCAGGGGCATTGCGGTGAGGAAGGCGGTTCTGTCGGTCCAACAGGAGAACCTCAACAAGCCTGTACAGGACACCCAGCATTGGAGACCAAGACTTGTCACCGTCATCGCTGCAGAAGTCCGGCCAGACAGCAGCTTTAATATGCAAGTCATCTTCCATCTCATTTATTTTCTGGCATCTTCTATATCATATATATTTGGAGCCCATTTCCTCCTGATCAGGTACGATCATTGCTTCACCAAGTCAGCAAACGTGTGACCACACTGCAGTGCAGTAAGCCAGTGACCCCTGTTTTGGGGGACAGTGAAACAACAGAAGAATCACTGTGAAGGATCCCCATTGCGCTACCAAGCCCTGAGACTGGGACCCCTCCAGACCCAGTCAGACAAGGGGGTCTCCTGGCCTGCCAGAATAAATATTGGCGTGAGCTGGCAGCATGTGAGCCAGTGAGGTCTACAGTGTGTCCACACTACGTCACGGCTTCCGGAAACATCCGGCGTTCCAGCGAGCGGTAATGAAATGATGAGCTCCCTCAAACGCTAAAACCTTCACAGGGTTCACAAATTTACGACCTTTATCCTGAGAACAAGGATCTAAAATCAGTAGAAGCGTGCCACGTTCTCCAGCTCTTTGCCATGCCTCTATATTACCCACAATTCACTGCTATGCAGATCTACCACCTTAAGAGCCCTTTGTCTGTGTCAGACTCTAAGAGCTTGTGTTTCTCTCCAGGAGTCTGTGGCCACTCTTGTATGAAGAGTGATTGTATTTGCTCTGTAATGTTTGTGACACCAGGCATTTCGCACAAAGATAAATATTCAGTCTAAAAAGGGGCGGGGGATGGGGAGGGCCCTCACTAATGGAGTCCGATACAGTACCTTCCTGACTGCTGGCTTTCACCTTCCCCTTGGGGGGGGACGGGGGCGGATCGGCGCTCCGCCTGGCCGTAGACAGCTTCTGGTCGCTGTCCGCCAGCGGCTCGCCATCACCCAGAGATTCCGCCGCTGTCACCTGCTCCCGCTGGGAGCCCAGGAGGTTCTTAGCTGCTCGCACCGCCACCTCCTTTAGCAGTGCTGCTGATGGCGTCATGGAAACCAGCGAGAAGAAGGAGCAGTTTGCGGACGGCTCCCCCTGCTGGAGCCCCCGCTCGCTCACCTTCTTGGACAAGGCTGCCAGCGTGGAGCTGGCGGACTGGGAGTTAAATGGGCTGGGGAAGGCGTCAAAGCGGGCCGGCTCGTCTGCCCTGCCCCCGCCGATAACCCCGGAGGAGGACGACGATGACGAGGAGGATGAAACAGCCAAAGAAGCTCCGGCACTTTTGTCCTGCCGTACGGCATTGGCCGCGGCCTTCAGCTTCTGGATGGCGGAGTCCGGGGATAGGCTGCTGCCGCCAGGGGCGGAGCCGCCAGCAGGTAGCCAGGTTTCCCCCCCACCCACCCAGGCGAAGCTGTTGCCATTGGCACCAGCAAAGGGTTCAGAAAGCTCCCGCTTCACCGCACTGACCGACGCCGTCGGGGTGGGTGAAGCCGTCATGGAGGCAGAGCTCTTGGCGAGTTTGCGAGCCAGAGCGCTCAACTGCTGGGCGTGGCGGGAGGATGGGGACAGGGCGGAGTCCAGGTGCAGGGACGAGGTGTCCTGGGACCTGTCCCGGTCAACCAGCCCCCCCACGTCTAACCGGAGGGAGTCGGCCTCCAGGAGACGCCTCAGGTTACTGCTCAGCGGCGCCCCCAGTGCATGGTCCCCGTAGAGCGAGGACACCACCGAGGACAGGGTGTCCTGGACCGTGAAGCTCCCCACGTGGAAGGAGTCAGAGTCCAGCCCCTGGAGGTCCAGGGACGCGCGGGGCACAGGCGTGGGACAGCCCACAGAGCTCTCCCCCGAGGTGTCTTGCTCCGGAGGGCCCCCTTCAGGAGACGGCTGGATGTCATCCTCAGAAGGCGTGTCGGAGGCGTGGCCAAACCAGCTCCCGCCTCCCACAGGCTCCGCCTCTCCATCCTCAGCTCGTTCCAGATCTGAGAATCAAGGACAGGAACGAGTGAGCGAATAAACAAATAAAAAATAAAAAAATGTCATATATACTTATATGTCATTCTTATATACTTATAAACCAAAATCACCGTTTAAAGTTACCTTAAACGCTAACATTTTACATTTTTACATTTTAGATGGTTATCGTATGTATCACATGAGCAGTGCTCTGCCGCAAAGTTAATTTTTAGTAAATTAATAATAATAAATAATAATAATAATAGCTACGTTGGCAGAGATTTCTATTCCACACAACACATTCATCTATTCATGCTTCTGTTTTTATATATCGAAATATCTATTCAGATAACAGCAGAATCCGTTCGGCGCGTGTCCATCTCGGGGACATGGTCCCGCACGCGGGGGCCTGGAACATCACGCGCACTTCCCTGCGCCGCCCGACGCTCGCATTTGCATGCCGCGGCTTTTGGAGAACATTTCGCTCTCCGCGTTTCCTTTCAACCATATTTTTCTCAGGGTTTAAAGGAGTTTCGTAAAAGGGGTTACCATGGTGACGGGCCCTTCTGGGAGGCGAGACAGCAAAGATTAGGGTAATGGAGGTTACAAAGCGAGATTAATATTCATGAGGCTGAAGATACCACCAGGGAGCCAATGAAGATAGGGGAAGGGTCGGCGAGGGTCATTAATATACACTTCATGTATCAATATTCATAAGCAAAACAATCCTGCTTGCCAGACAAGGGCGGACAAAGGGGGGGAAATATTACCAATGGCCTATAAATATTAGCATAGAGAGGCAGGGAGGCTGGTCGTGGGCACAGCTTTCACTTCCCACGAAGCTCGGCCGCAGATACGGAGTCCCGGCGTGCAGCGACCGCGCCGAGGCCCAGCGACGTGCGTGTGACGTCACCCTCTCAGCACGCCCCCGGATCCAGGCCCTGACATGGCCTCCTTCTGCGTCTCAGTGAAGCACAGAAGGCGGTTGCCGGGCAACAGGACCTGTGACCTGCGGGGATCACCGCGGCCGGCGTACATCTGGTGGCAGGGTCGGCTCCGACCCGGGGCAGCCATTACCGCCATCGTGCTCCGAGCGCCCACGGAAACAGAACCCGTCCACGCCTTCCACTGGGCCAGTAAGGGTGTCGCTCCGCGTCCCGCAGTGGCACCTCAGCCCTGTGGTTCTGCTGACATGGGCCCGTCACCCACCCTGTACGCTACACGCAGGATACAGCCTTGGGGGCAGAACCGTGTCCTCAGAACAGAGGCTGCACAGTTTCCGGCACTGGAGCCTCAGGATGGAATGACTGGCAGCTCCTGAAGGTCACCGTCCTCCAGCGAGGGGGTAGCGAATCCCGCGGGGGGCTCGTCTGACACCACACTCCCCCCCAGTCTCTATCGCCCGTGTGTGTTACACGGCGCCAGGCCAGCAGGGGGAGAATTAGTACTTAATGACCAACCAGGTCAAACCCCCCCCTCCCCCCGAATGACTTTGCCTCTTGTGGCGGGAGAGCAGCAGGAAAGGGAGGGAGGAAAAACACGAAGAGCCTTTGGTGGGTCACAGCCACCGTGTGTGTGGACAGAGAGCTCCGGGTCTTGGCCATGGGTACGAGGAAGCATCGGGGGAGAAGGGGGAGTTATCAGATTGGGCAGGGAAGGCCTGAAACAGCCAGGAACAGGCGACAGGAACGGGCAGCAGAGGGAAAAGCCCCCCTCTCTGCGGTCCGAGTGGCTCCCATCAGCGTGGGCACTGAACACGGGGCCCGATCAACGCAGGCCGTACAGGTGAGTGCAGATTTTTGACAGGTAGTGGCGTCAGCTAACCCAGCGAAGTGGTTAATAATCCACATTCACAAACGGTGTGAATTAATGCAATCAGTCAGGCCCAGACCACACTCCTGCAGCTCTGACTAACTACACATGCGTGTCCATATATAAAACACAAAGTACGCTTGATGTATGTTCCACTCATAGCCCTTGATCGTATAATAATGTCTCCCCTTTTCAAACTTACCTCATACTACTGGAATCATCACTGTCTGTGTCTTGCAGCTGTCAGTGGTTTGGGGCATTAATTCATGCAAAATAAATCATTTGAATACAACAGTATTTAATGTATCGATATTTGAAGTCTCTTGGGTAAAAAGCCAGTATTGAATGTTACACTATGAATGAAAGTCCTTCAGTCTGCGGCATCGCACACATACAGGCTGGTTCCCAAACCCACCAGCTCTGATGTCATCGTGTCTCCCGTGACAAATGTGCGGCTTCCTGCTCTGGTCACTTGTAAATCAGAGTCGATGGCCCTGGTTAAACCTGTCCAGAGGCTAAGAGCAGGACGTCCTCATCACCAGGTGAATCCGCGTCCCCACAGGGTCCTGTCCCACCCGCAACGCCGCACGCTCGCAGCAAAGGACAGGAAACGTCTCCCCCCACCTCAACAAGACAGCAGACCCAAGTGGCCAGACAACCACATTTCTCGGGACCCCAGTAAATAGTTAAATATACTGACCAAACCGTGTACTAAACTACAGGGTTAACATTACACTGAGAGAACCCAAAGGCAAAAGGGTTATCTCGCCTGTCAATCTCAGGTCACCCCCCTCCCCCCTCCACATTCTGCTCACCTGCAGGGGCGCCATCTCTCCCGTTAGAGGGCGGAACACAGTCAGGGGGCGGGGCAATGGCGAGCGATGATAATCAGCCCGATCCGACAGCAGAGCTTCCCTGGAGGTGCTGTCATTAGTCCCCCCGGTCTTTAGCAAAAGCCCCCTAAATAAACCCCCAAGGGCAGCTGGCCTTTCAGGGGCCAGTAAACAATCCGTAATGAGGCGCGGCTTGCCTCCAGTAGGGGGCGCTCAATAGCACAGGCGGACTCTTCTGCGACTTCACAGGAAAGCAGCCAGTGGCTGGGATCGTGGTGACTGATGGTGTGGCCACGGGTACATGGGGGACGGCCACCTTAAAACCCAGGACAGAGATCCGCATGCACACCGCTAGCTTTGGCTAAATTAAAAAACAGCAAGAACTATAAATATGACGGCCTGGACAGTGAGAGCAGCTGGAAGACTGGAGCTGGTATGAGGGATGAAAGTAGATTCTTCAAACCATCATGTTTCATTTTCCTCTTGGCTTTCACATATAATCACGCTCAGCAGAGGCTCAGTGTAATATAAGCGCAATATCAACACAATATCACTGTGTCTCGGTGCGATATCAGTGAGCATCAGTGCGATATCAGTGAATATCAGTGCGATATCAGTGAGTATCAGTGCGATATCAGTGCGATATCAGTGAGTATCAGTGTGATATCAGTGAGTATCAGTGCGATATCAGTGAGTATCAGTGCACATGTTTCCATAAATCCAGCTGCTCCAGGTCAGACATCCACGCCAACCGGAGCATCCAGTAAGGAAGCACTGATGAGCCCAGTCTCTGCTCTGGGGGGTGCACTAGATCACGTTGAGTAGACATGCATTGTCTTCAGAGCCAGGGACTACATCCCCCAGGGCAGGAAGGTAAACATGAAGTACTGCAAGGCAGCAAGGGCTGAGCCGTGGGGCTGGCCGGCACACGGGGCACAGGATGCAGGACACAAGATGTAAGATGGAGACTCACTCACAAGATGCACTTTCTGACGACACTCACTGAACTCGCTCACTGGACACGCTGTCTGTCCACACTTGCTGAAAACACTCACTGGACGCATCATCTGTTCACACTTGCTGGACACGCTTGCCGAGCATGCCTTCTGTCCACACTTTCCGAACACGCTCACTGGATGCACATTCTGACCACGCTTTCTGTCCACAATTGCTGAACACACATGCTGGATATACATTCTGACCACACCCACTGAACATGCTCAATAGATGCGCTTTCTGTCCACACTTACTGAACACGCTCACTGGGCACGCTATCTGTCCACAATAACTGAACACACTGGCACATTCTGTGCACGCTTGCTAAAGTTCTCCCCAGGGCCCGGTGCGGAGGTCACAGACCCCACAAGCTCATGCACCCTGTAAACACAGCACTGGGAAAATAAACAAACAAACAAGCGGACAGGGGCCACTGTGTCGCCACGGGGACAGCGGTCTGTCAGCGCGGCCGCAGCCCGTCTCACTCACACAGCAGAACCAGCCCACTTGAGAGAATGGCAGCTGAGCACCTTGGGTCACGCAGCGCCTCACCTCAGGGACACAGACCAGCCGGCAGGTCCCTTTGTTAAATTAACAAATTAAATAACGAATCAGAAACGGAGTAAGTGTAGATTGTAGGACGGCAGCAGGAGGAGACGGACGAGGTGCAAACAGGCCCTCTTACCAAGGTTAACGAGGAGGAGAGCCGAGTCTCCGCCGGGGGCCTGAGGACAGGACCGTCTAGTCAGACGAGCGGAAGAGTCTGACGGCTACAGGAGACGAGCTTTTAGTGCCTCTCGCTCCCAGACGTGTGCAGCAAGACGGTGACCCACACAGCCAAGAGCAAGGGGACCCTTCTGGACGATGTCGGCACATGCCGGGTCTTCCGGCTCACCATATCATCACTAGAAACAGATTCCTGATGATGGGAAAAGCCCCACCATTGTGCTCTCATTAAAGTCCCACAGGCTGGGGTGGGGCAGGGAGGCAAAAGGAGGAAGAGTTAACCCTCCAATGCATGGTGCCCAGTAGTAAGAAACTTTTATTTAAAAAAAATAATAAATTCCCATCATGCATAGGGAAATAATTGATTAAGGGAGGACGGAGCCGCCGTGTGATTGTGCCGCTCCAGTTTGTTAGCGAGCGCCAGGGTGCCTGCACATGATGGGGGTTTCCCACCGCTCGTGGGGGGGTCAGGTCAGCGGCAAAGTTAATTTAACCCGCTAATGTAACGGCCACAGGACAGACAGTGTGTCGGCACACTTCATTAACCGGCCCCCCCCCCCCCCCCCCCCCCCCCGTTAATTTTACAGTAAACTACTCCACGTCTGTGGGGCTGTACATCTCAAGCACTAACCCTATAAAGCCTCTTGCTGTTCTTGAAGTGCAATTTGTTTGACTAATTTCTGATATTTTTCCCTTTTTCTTTATTTATTAGCCTAAAAAGAAGATTAACCATCAACAAACAGAAGTCCCGAACGAATCAAATCACCGTTTCGCAGCGTACAGAGCCCTGCCGGGGCCCGGTTCCATTCAGCGGTAGTCACATGGCACTGCAGGAGTAAATCAGAGTCGCGCTGAGGTGTGCACATGCACATCAGACACACCGCTGTCGGTTTTCACTTCATTTAAAGGCGTTACTGTGTCTTCAGACTCACCCAGGAAAGGCGTGTTTGTACCCTGGGTGACAGTGTCAGCGGACTCTGCGTACGGACTCTGCGTACGGACTCTGCGTACGGACTCTGCGTACGGACTCTGCGTACGGACTCTGCGTACGGACTCTGCGTACGGACTCTGCGAGCATTGCCAGCCTGCCCGCTCCATTCTAGCGACTCTCTCCATATCGATAAAAAGGTCCACGGCCCAGTTACCGCCTCTGGCTGAATTTCCACTCATCCAGCCTGGGCTGATCCGAATCACGCAGCCAGGCCAGACTGGTCGGCGAAAACGTGGAACCGTTTAAAGGCCCCCAAGCAGTGAGGCTCTCAGCATCTGGATCTGCCTCTCAACCCCGTACCTGAGGCCCTGCAGCCCCCAGCCACCCAGGAAGAAGGCGCCCCCCCCCACCCCTAGCCAGCCAGGAAGACCCCCTCACCCCCCAGCACGGACCACAAGTTCAAACCAGTGACAAAGAGTCAAACATCCAAAAAATCTAAAAATGCAAAAGCAAATAACTTTTACTCTGATTAATCGGCACTCAGCGTCACATCTCCGTCCTCAGCACTGACCCACCTCAACCCCCTAACAGGATAATGTTATTTTTCCTGGGGAGTTATGCCATGTCTGCAAATTAAACAAGACCTGCCCCCCCCATTGCTGTAACTGAAATTAGCACTAAATGAATCCATTACTTGGCACTTGAGCAACTGCCTCCTGGCCCCACGGGGCGATGACTGGAGAGCAGCGGAATCTGGCCCCCCCTGTGTCTAAAAGACACTCAGAGCTCACTGCATCCCCCCCCCCCAATGAAGCGGCCTGCTCACCCTGGCTAATTTCTGCCGACGTCGCAGTGAGACTCCTGCGAGACTGCCTCTCCTTCTCCCTGTCCCCCCCCCACCCATCTCCCCACCTCAGATCCCAAAGCTGCAAACTTCTTAAAAAACCTGCAAATGTTTCTGAGGAAGGAGCAACACCAACTTCACACACACCACAACTAGCAAGAATTACTTTTTTTTTTTGCTGACAGCCCAAATAAAATGCCTCGTTCCGGTACTTTCCAGGTTATTTAGGTCATCAGGAATTGGAGACCAGCTTAACAGAAAAAATAAATACTTTCTAAGGGGCAATGAGCAGTTTTGGGTAGGGAGAGAAATGAATTTCCCCCAGTTACCTTCAACAGCCGACAGAGATGCAAATGAGGCCATTTCAGCGCGAGGCAGATTCATTTGGAGGCATCAGCATTTGCACCAGAATCTTCTCAGATGAATTGATCAAGTGAAAGTCTCTGTGTGGCCCCAGCCGCCGGGCAGCAGCTCATTAAACGGAGGCAAAGGAATTAGCTGAGAGGCTCAGGAGGAGGCGGAGCCGGGGGTGCGAGATGGGAGCGGCCCAAACCGCGTCCGGCTGTTTGTCTATCTGCCAGCTCTGAGGAGAGCAGGAAGGTTCCGGCAGAAACAAACGGGCCGAGCTTTCTCTCCAGGTCGTCGCAGCATCACCTGGTGCTGTTTAGCCGGGCTCTGGCGTCACCGTGGTGATCTGTATCACAGCACCGCCGCCATGGCGATCGAGTGCCCCTGCAGACGCGGAAAGTATGTTGATATATACAACCGCCACCTTCCTGTTGCCCTTTAATTTATTTTTAAGTTAAAAGCCTGTACATTATTAGTCACTTGGGCTCAATTCAGCAGACACCAGTAAGAGAGTCTGAATTTAAGTTGGTTTTTGGCAGTGGCTTTCCGTGGACTGGATGCCAAGCGTGAGATGGAAAAGCCCTTCATGTTTTCCAAGGCTTTTGGGCCTCGGGCCAGACGAGGTCATTATAATCACCGCGAGGGGAGGAGAAGCACGGGGGACGGAGCCACCGGGCCGGGCCAGGATGCAATCACCGGCCAGTAAGTGGAGACGGAGCGGACATTTCTACACGTCGACCCGCAAGATAGACGTCCCGACTCCAGAGATCTGAATGGGCAACAGCTGCAGGGAGTGAAAGAAAGATCTGGAAGGATCCATCATAGAGCCAGGGTGAGGGTCAGTGGTCCAGGGGAAGAAAGTATCATCCTTCTTATAAAACGAAAATGATTTTTGGATGACTTTTTAAAATTAGTGTAATTTGTTCAAATAGCAATTGGCCTGATTTTTCTGCCAAATGCCAGACAAGGTGAGTTTGCGACAGATAAAAACAGGCTGGATTTTAACCTCGCTGGGTGAGTATCTGAAACACAGCAAGTAAAAGGTGGAGGGACAGTAATTTAAAAGTGTGACGAATGACTGTTCTACCACTTTCAGCAACACTGACATGAGATTGTCAAAGACTTTTCAGCTCTCATGCAACTATGAGTGTTTAAATAAAAAAACACACTAAGAAACATCAGATTAAAAAAACAGACACAAAACAAAGTATCAATGATTCTCTGAAAAAGAAAAAAAAAATCAACCATCAGAATGTGCAAGATAATGTAACTGCCGAATATTTAATATAAGGCTGGGGGAGAGGGGTCAATAGGAAAAGTACTATAGGAAACATTCAGGGTACGTGCCAAACACCCATAATGCCCTGCGTGCCAAACACCCATAATGCCTTGCCTGAGGACAGCCTGGTACATCTAACCAAACATTCCCCCAATGTCTTTCAAAAAAAATAACTCAAGGGGCCCCTAAAATTGAAAGCAGACTCCATGAAAACAGCGGCCATCCATCTCCACATGCCCCTTACTGCACCACCTTCAAATTGGCCTTTATTTAAAAAGGAATAATCGATTGATTTGTGAAGCATTCGCCAAATTACGATTGCAGGGCTCGGTGTAACAGAGTGAGAAGCGTAAGACTGTTGATGTGAATGTCCTCAGGGTGTTGAAGCCTGGCTTGATTAAACTTATATGAAAATAGGCTGTAGAGCAACAAACACCATCAGATATTGAAACGTTTTAGATTCTTTTTTTTTCCCCTTTGTGGCCCTTGTTTCTCAAGCCTTAAAGTTCACCAGGCTTCTTAAGCTGACAATCGCAGACTAGTCCAAGTTTTCACGCAGTCCTGTTTAACTGGAGCATTTTTGCTTGATCTGGTTTTGTGACCTGCACAGGACCCCCCGACACAGGTATAACAGCAGCCGCTTGGATAGCCAGTGATGGCTCTTTCCCAGCCGACTGGCACGAGACAGTGCGTCTCTGTCCTTAACGGGAAGCAGGAAGGACCGGAGCAGGTAAACCATACCTACATTCTAAGATCCCAGATGTTCCCAAACTCTCAGGTGAGAGTGAGCAGGAATCATACAAGGGTTTCATGTATTTAAAAGGGATGGAGTGTCACGCAAGCTGTGAAAATGGCCCTTAGGAGAGCTTCTTAATGACTGGATATTGAAAGCCGGGCCTTAACTGAAAATTTAACCCTTTGCAGTCCTCGGGCAGCTGGTATGTGCATAAGGCATGCATCAGTCAAGTGCCCTGCTTTAAGCCAGCGACCGGGGAAAACGAAAGACAAAACAACAAAACAATACTGTATCACAGAAACAAAGCTGCGGCAGTTTCTGCGCCACGCACTCCGTAATAAGCTCTCCGGCGTATTACGGTCATTTATGGGAATTTTAAATTGTGTAACAGCTTAATGACATAGGAGTAACATGATATAACACACAGCAGCCTCGTATCTTAGTGACAGCGGAGCCACATGGGGCAATTAGCCGGTAATAAGGCGAGGTGCCCGAAAATGCCCCGTTACTCCGCGGCTGTGACCGGGGGACTGGGGGGCACCTCCGAGATCCTCTGGCGGAGCTGACAAGGAACAGCAGCTTGCCTTCTTTTATATCAGGCGATTTTTAAAAAGCACGGCAAGATTAAGGGGAAACGGACAGGCACCGTGAGTTGCACAGCGAAGCACATCTGGGGGGCCTGGCCGGTTATCGCGGATCCGCAGACGGACGCTGAACTTCAGGTGACCGGCCGGGGCGCTGACACTGGCAGCCCGCTGACACTGGCAGCCCGCGGACGCGGACACGGACAGGGAGGGGTGGGACAGCTCGCGCGCTATCTCAATAATAACAATAACAAGAACAGTAATAAAAGCCACAATAATGATAATAATGACAATCATAATGACAGGTTAAAAAAACCACACACAGCGACACCGCGATCGCCTGGAAGTGACCTGGCGACCGCCACCGCTGCCCAGAGCATCCGCCGATGCCAAAGTTGCGCAGCTGGAGCTGCGGGCAGCCCAGGCGCTCTGCGCGAAAACAGGAAACAAGTTGCGCCGATTTGGTGCCGCCGGAGCTCGGAAGCCCGAGTCCAGCCCCCTCGCTCCGATCCGGCTGACCCCCGCTCTACCGCAGCCGGATCCTCAGATCCTCCCCCTTTTTCTTCTTCTTCTTCTTTTTTTTTTTTAAGAAAAAAAAAAAAAGAGGGGACACGGACTTCAATGAACGGATTTACAAAAAAGAAAGAAAAGAAAGAAGCAGCAATCGGCCGTAAATGGCGCACGGATGGAGGCGACGGACGCGCTCACCGACTGCAACCTTGAGAACGGGACCTTTATCGATCACAGAGTGCGTTTAAAGACACGCTGGCTGGCTGCTCGTCGCCAACATGGCTGCCCGGCACAGACCTAAAAAAGGCAGAAATAACACCCTGCGCCGCGTCTTTGTCCGCTTCCAGCCCTTTAACCCCGAAGTGCTGCGCGAAAGCCCCGCGGAGCCGCCGAGACGCCGCCGAGCGGCGGACTTACGCGCAGCCAGGCGCTGGGGCTGCTCCTGCTTTCTCCGGGGCATTTTCCCCGCTCTTCACATCCTCCTCCTCCGCGTTTAGGGATGAGAAGGAGGGATGTTTTTCTCCATTGAGACGGTGAGCCGGCGACCGATGGCAGCGGCTCGTCCCGCACCTGGCGGTCCGCGGCTCCGGACTGCGCTGCCGGGCGATGGGAGGCGGAGGAGGCGGCGATCCCGTGTCTGACTATGGCTGCTGTCGGTGTGTATGTGTGCCGGAGCCCCTAACTGACACTAATGCGGGGATCAAAGGGCAGCGGCAGCGGAGCAGCGCGCGCGCGCGCACACACACACACACACACACTCCCCGCACATAGGCTACACACACTCTCCCCACTCACTCACTCTCACTCACACACACACACACACACACACATACTCCCCGCACATAGGCTACACACACTCTCCCCACTCACTCACACAGACACACACACACACACACGCGCGCGCGCGCGCGCCCGGCTCGGTGCCCCCGAGCCGCCTCATCTCGCGCACATCCAAACGCTCCTCGGAAACACTGAGCGATGCATCGTCACATTAATCAAGTTACACCGCCGTCGGTCTTGTTTATTCTGTTTGTTGTATCGCGCGTCGTCGCTTAATTGGAAATACTACAGTTTTATAAATCGTGACCAAATGTTAAATACGCTCATTTATGCCCTAAACATTAAAGTATTCTAAAACACGTTTTTAAAATACCTGTCATTCGAAAATGTCTAAAAATGCTGAAATCACAAAGATGCTTAGAAATAAAATAGGCCTATAGTGAGACAAGGAATGTCTGGAATTCCGACCATTAAAAGGCCGAATGAAGCCTTTGTGAAATTATCCCCTGGCACGTGGGTGTGATGCTCTATAGACTCCGTGCCACTGTTATTATGCACTAATGACAGGCAGCTCTTGGGGCACTGAGTATCCCCTGCTTTTATTTTATTGTGTATTTTCCCTGTGAGCCCACGGCTGATACGGGACCCATGCTCTGTGGTTAAACTGGATCGAAGATGCACTAAAACAGCATCCCCGACAGTACACACACAGAATGGTGCCACACGGAGTCGGCATCCCCCTCTGAAAAACTCTGCTGTGGGTCTTGTCTCTTGCGGCCTCTGAATTTTCTCCATTTTGCCTAAAAATGCCTCACCAACATAGACTTAACGGGACACCTCTGTGGGATGACGACCCCCCCCCCCCCCCCCCCCCCCCGTTAATTTTACA